AAAAAAAAAAAAAAACGCTAAACTGGAGACACTATTTGCACATTACATTTTTAAACATTATAATCAGTAGCTTTTTAATTTACTTTTTTAAAATATACTTTTCCATTCAGAATTATACTTGAACATGTGTGTGGTCAGCCAGTTTACTACGACAGGAAACATGTTTATTGTTTCTGTGGCCACATGTATTGGAGAGTAGGTTTGTTTTAAATAAAAACTTCAAATCCTACAAAGCGGAAAATAAGGTTTCCAAGTGGTTTGTGTTATGGATTGGGCATTAAAGTGCAGAAAAGTGTTGATCCAGGTAATGTTCGGGTCATGAGGGGTGGAGGCCTCTCTAGTAGCTCAGCTTCCAAGGGCTGGCATGCTTGTAATGCACTGGCTGAACATGTTTGCGAATGAGTATGTTTCTGGCCAAATTCTCTTGACTTTATTGCCTTGGATTGGCTAAGTTGGAAAATTACGTCGCTGTCAAGGTTCTTGTTAACAGAATTTGGACTCTATGCTAACACAACACGTTGTGATTGTATGTCACAGTCACTCCAGGTGAGTGAGACAAGTGGGAAACTAAACTTGCATTTACATTTTGGCTCTACTGTGAGCAGGTAATGGCAATGTTTGAAAAGCTTATCACTGTGCTGAGGCCTGTGCGAAGATGTTGGATGCACACCACTAGGGCTGGGAAACACTGACTTGATCCAGTTGGCCTTTGAGGAAATATGTGGCCCCCTCGGAGTGTGTATAAGTTTCTGTGTGCAATCGTTGCTTCATAATTGGCAGAAGCTGACAGTGTGTAACCAGAAGGGAATGATTATTGATTAAGCTTATATGCAATGCAGAAGTTGTTTTTGCACCTCTCCACTTTAAGACTTAAACACACCCTCACAGACACAGACTTTCTCCCCTGATAATATGGCTAGCGCTCTGTAATAAATATGAGAATATCCGTGAGGAATTTGTGTTCTGTGGAAACTTCTCTCAATATACATCCTGAAAACGGCTAAAGCGGCTGTTCAGGAACCCACACGCACTCGCCTGCCAACACAAATGTACTTTCTGAAGGATGATACTTGGAAAGGCTAGAACAAAACATCCCAAAAAGACTGGAACGTAATGTCCTAAGGTTACTGAACTATATAAACTATAACTGAACTATAACTATTTGAATGATTCAAGACTCACTCCTACAGGAAGTCTTGTTTTGTTCCTGATGTTGAATCAGCGCTTTTGACCAAATTGGTTGAGTGACTATTTCAATGACTTACTTAAAGAAAGTCACTAGTTTAGTTTCATCATTCATACTGAACTCTTAACTATATAAACTGTCATTGAACTATATGTGTTTATATTAGTGCTGTCAAAATTAATGCGTTAATGCAGCCGATTAATTTTTTCAGTTTAACGTGTTAAAAATATTTAACACCATAAACGCAGGGGCGGAGCTAGGATTGGCCACCCTACTCGCAACTGCTTCTTCTGTCACTTTTTCTCTTGAAAAGAAGTGCATTTATTCAGTTGCAGAATGTCTTTACGACCACATCAAACAGGAGATGTTTCAGACATGTACTCCAGCTTCACCTCAGCGCAAGGTGTGGGTCAAACGAGCACAGAAACGGTACTGTGCTCGCAGCGCAAAGGCACCAGTACCCGCTGTAGACTTTATCATTTCATATCAAAGCACGAAATAAACTACGTGCATGCAATGTCGTCGTCAGTTACAGTAAGTCATGAAATTACCAAAAAGGTGGAATAAAGCTGCCTTAAAACTGTGCATGCATGTAATATATTTGATATGAGTCACATTTAAGAACATGTCTCTGAAATGGTCTTCCAAACTGTCCTGGAGCAGCCCAGCAATGTCTCCCTCATCTAACAACCACGATTCAACTCGTCAGCTCATTAGTAGAGACGAAGTGGGTCAGAAAAGGTAAGGAGAGTTGAGAAAAAATACAATACCTGTCAGATCTGCGTCACGTTCAGCAGCGGCAGCTCTTAAAGAAATAGCAGCCAAAACAACCTAATAACCAGCTGCTGTGATGTCTGT